CAATCAACCACCAACTATTAAACATATGTATTCAATTGTTTCATTTCACTTACCATCTACCCATTAATTTGGATTATATTTTTCTTACAGTACATCTAAGTATTTACATTTTTTTTTGTTTTGGTCAAACATCTAAGTATTTACGTATGTTGTTTTCACAAAATTTTGAGCTTTTGAAAAAGCACGATCATATCAACATATCATCATTACTTCGTTGTTAATTAAATGTATGCAAAATCGAAAAAATCAGGAATTATCTAATGGGTCAATTGCAAGAATAAGAAAATAAAAACAACAACAAAAATTTAATTAACAAAATTAGCATGTGTGGTCAAATATCAACCTTTAGATTTCTGTTAAATAGTTAAAATTTATATTAAATTTTTTTTCTTGGTTATAGCATGCAATTTTCCTTATCTAATCAAGTCAGTTCAATTAGACCGATTCACAACATATCCCTAGTTTAGAATATCATATAGACATATACCCTGGAAATTGGATTAGATCATGATTTTAAAGTATTCAATGTGTTCCTCAAGACTCGTTTCTCTCTCTTTTTGTTTTTCATATTTATTCTACCATTTGCTGAGATATTGTTTTTACGTGTACCACAATTAACCTCAAACGCTAGCCTCTACTTATTCCTCTGATAAAATCCCTCAAGAAACCAAACCCATTCTCAATCCTCCAAACACATAACATCTTTAGTTTTTCTTCACCGACAAAAACCTTAAGAAATGGCCGACTCATTCGAGTTCATCGTAACCCGAAAAGATCCCGTTCTCGTCTCTCCAGCCTCCGAAACTCCAAAAGGTCTCCATTACCTCTCAAATCTCGATCAAAACATAGCCATCATCGTCAAAACATTCTACTACTTCAAATCAAACTCGAGATCCAACGAGGAATCCTATGACGTCATCAAGAAGTCACTCTCCGAGGTTCTTGTTCACTACTATCCTGCCGCCGGGAGACTCACGATCAGCCCCGAGGGTAAGATCGCCGTGAATTGCACCGGAGAAGGAGTCGTGGTGGTGGAAGCTGAGGCTAATTGTGGAATAGAGAAGATAAAGGAGGCTATATGGGAGATTGATCAACCGGAGACTCTTGAAAAGCTGGTTTACGATGTTCCCGGTGCTCGGAATATTCTTGAGATTCCGCCGGTCGTTGTTCAGGTGAGGGGTTGATACTCTTTTTGCTTGCTGTTTTGCGTGAGTGAACGAACATGACCTGATTATTAGGGTTTGGTCCGATATTGGTTTCAAGTAAACAATAAACGTATATTTTTTGATTAATATAATATTCATCATCATGTATGGATCAATATATACTCTAGTTAGTGGTAAAAACAAATTCAGAAATCAAAAATGCTATTCACAATCACA